CAGTCTCGTTATAAAATGGAATCGGAAGCTCTGGAGGTCGAGAAATATCGACATCCGAAATATGGGTAGGTGCCTTGGGCAATCCTGTTTGTTCAGTTGCCAAACTATATTAAAGGGTTCAGGTTCAAGTGGGAAGTCCCGATATGGTATCAGCTGCATGATGAGATAAAGTTCGCCTGGTTGCGTAGAGGTTAGTTTCGAAATGTCCGTGAGACTAGGAATCCAAGTTGATCTGTGATATTTTTGAAACCCTCGTCGTAGAACTCAAGTGACATATAGTATCTTAATATTGAATTGGTTTTTTTTTCAAACCAATCTGGACACTTTCCAAATCGAATTGGACGCAGTCTTCATAGCGGACAGTTTCTTTACCAGCTAGACACTACTGTAAGACTCGCCCCGACGCCCACGCCCACTTTCAGCGCAGCAATGGTTTTTCGATTTTCGTTTTGTAACTTTTGCATCTGTGACTTCTTTGTTCATCTGCTATTGCGTGAGCACACACTATTTGAAAGGGGTCGACACACTGACACCAAGGCGACTCCGCCCACTTTTGCATCACTTGATCCTCTTTCTAAACTCTTCTTCATTGGGCTACTTCGGGTAGTCCCGCGTACAACAGGAACGTCCGCCACTTCGCAGAGCCCCGCCCATTTTTGTTGAGGTCAGAGCATCAACTAGTAAGAAGGCAGCCGGTTGGTTAAGAGTGAGGGCTCATGTTCGCAACCATTGTGGTAAAGACCACGAGTTCGATCCCAGCTGAGGGAAAGACCATGAGTTGTAAAAATTGCAGAAATGGTGCCGATACCAGCGTAAGGCCCGGACAGACCGTCAGATGGAGAATCTCGTCACAACAACTATGTTTGAAAGTAATCGACCAAAGAAGACGATGCGAGCAGGTTATGCATACGCGACATCACCCCGGAAAGTTTGGCCAAGTTCATCGTGAATCAGTATGCGATGCCGAGGACAACACGACACTCGGCTAAGACCGAGAATATCCGAACATGGATCGCTGACCGGAAATTCTCGAGAGGTCTCTGATGAAGCGAGGAACATCAAAGTCCTATGCTTTCAGTAACGCCCTGGAAAGTAGCCAAGGCCGCTAGTTCGAGAAGGTGTCAAAACTCTTTTTACAGTGGCGGAGTACACCAAGCCCGAGAGGGGAGTGGCCGAGTGTTAGGCGGACAGCCATCAAGGACTGTGTCTTCGCTGTGAACAGGTCAGTGATCGACATCATGGGGAGTGACAGACATGAACACGAAAGCGAGTTCGCTGGACCAATAGTTGCAGCCGCAAGCTAGTTGCCCCTAGCTCGAAAAGGATGGTTCTCACATGATCCTAGACGGGATCATCAGATCGGCTCCGGAAGGTGACTATCTCCCCCACCAACTGTTCAAACGGCCACGTCGACATACTCGACAGAAGGTATTCTATAGAAAGGGAGCACGGAGGAAGGGGATAGGAACGAGGAACACGGGGAGAAAGGTCCTCAGACTTGGCAGGAGTCCATGACCTAGCAGTGTACAGCGCGTTTTTCGCAAAAAGGCAGACCCAGAAGACAACCTACCGTAATGGAGGGAGACAAGCGGATATCAACCATGTGTCGTATGAAGAGCATTCCTTAAAATTGTTAAGGACATCAAGGTGCTGCCTAGTGAAGAACTGGGCCCTCAGCACAGACCCCTCCTAGCAGACATCGCCATAGACTTCCCCAAGAAAGGGAGGGAGTGCGGAGAATTCGGTGGTGGAAGTTACGCCAAGTGGAGAAGGATGCGCTCAGAAGAAGGGCACTGGAAACTGGTCTTCTAGATCCTCAGGAACGTATCGGGTGAACTTGGACCAGCGTAGCAGATATCCTTCGGTGTGCTAAAGAAAGAAGAGAAAGACGAAAGAAGTGCACGAGGGGGATCCAGAGGAGAAGGCAGGCTGGTTGCGAACGAGGAATTCCAGGCTGGTTAAGCGGAAGTGAAGAGGCGTTAAAGCAAGACTCCAGAGAACCTTGTTGCCTACAAGAGGTGCAAATGACTCGCTAACGCAGCCGTAGCCAAGACGACACGGAAATGGCGCCCTGTACGACAAATGAGACAGCCTAGAAGCAGACAAGTTCGTCTTAGGCCCGACTAGAGCCCGCCATCGGGCAACCCATGACATCAGGGTAGTGAAGGATGTGAAAGGCTGTGACGTACCATTCGGAGGAAGTCAGACGAAGTCATGGGAAGGTGGATAGTACTTCAAAGAACTTCTGAACGAAGAGTTGCCTCGCAAAGATAGCTTACAAATAGAGCCGACGGCTGGCTTCACAGTAGGGGCAGAGGATGTGATTCGCAGGGAGTTAGGAAGAATGAAGGTTGAAAAGGTGACTGGTCCAGATGGGACGGCCTGGAAAACCAGCTCACTCCATGCTCTTTAGAGTATGGAGTAAGTTGGCTCACCCGCTTCTCAAACAACATAACAGCCGAAGGGAGAGTGCCGGATGCTTGGAGGTGCAGTACATCGTCCCCATCTTCAAGCAGAAGGGAGACGCGACGGACTGCTCTGACTACTGGGCATCAGAATGACCGCACATACCATGAAGCTGTACAAGAGGTGAGTCAACACAAGGCTGAGAGACCTCGTTAGTATCTGCTGAAGGACCTCGGTAGTCAGAATAGAAGTGTCGAAAGAGGCGACGGTCCTGTTACCCAGCTTTTCTGGACTTCTAGAAGCCCTGCGATTTCCGTCCGGCCATGCTCCGCCGCTAGTTTGCCATGCAATCACAACGCAGCCCCAAGCGCTTGCGAGTCGTTACGGACCAGAGTTAACAGTTAGAGCCGGAAAGGGTGGGCATGAGGGGAAGGCGTCGTACCAGGATCCTTTCCCGGTGGGGAGGGTCGTACTGACACCGCCATTCACACATACGCTGCTGCACCCTGCCCGTAATCCATGCAAAGCTCCACACACCACGGGCATGCGGTGAAAGTTAGCGGTGTCACGGGAAAATCCTGCTCCAGAGCAGCTCCGAGATGGGAAAAAGTGCTATGAGGTTAACAAAGGATTGGCTGAACAAATGGAGCACCCAGAATGGGCGGGGTTTACTTGAGATGATCGGTGCTTCCTCCAAAGGTAGGTAAATCGGTCCCCAGAGAGTTGAGATTGCAAAAAAGTCCATAACTAAGAAAACAATCTGTCGCCGTCATGTCTGCGGTGTGCTGAGACCGCCCACCGTGGGTAGAGCGTGCCCCCAAACGTGAGGTACTCTATTGAAAGAAAAGTGGTTCTGCTCCGGAGCAGTAGGCGTAGGCACCGACAAAGGATTGCTCGATGTCAAGACGGGTCACCGGTTTGAGTGCGTCGCATACTCATTGTGTGCAGGGCCGGTGCGGCGAAGTGGGGAGGGGGCCAGACGGAAAAAATCGGTGATGAGTTCCCAGAGTACTCCTGACACAGCAAGAGGTGAGCAAAGTATGCAAGAACTTCACTTCTGAAGTGAGAGAGACAAGCCCATTGTGAGCGAAACACGTGTTGAGGTCAGCAGAACAAAAGTCAACAATTTATGAGTTGATTAGCAGCAGATCCAGCAGGAACAAATAGATTGAAGTCCAGAAGGGGTTAGTGGACGAAAGGGGGAGACATCCTCAAAATGGGTGGGTCGTACTCAAGAGGGACTTAGGCGAATTTTGGAGATGCGGAGAAGCTAGATGCTGAGATTAGCAGGTATAAAGTCACTGGTCAAGGAGCGTTGAAAATCCGTACAGGTGAAAGAAAAGCCGGATATTATAACAGTTGGGATTTTATACGTGTATAAGAGGGTAAGCACGACGAAAGCTGGTCCGTATTACAGAAGCATGCGCGCCCGCGTCGGCCGGCAAGCCGACTGGCTGACATGATTGGAAAAGTTGAACAACTTTTCCAATCATGTCAGCCAATCGGCTTGCCGGCCGACGTATCTGGTCGTATCAACAGATGGAGGGACACGTGTAAGGGAGTGGAAAACTCGCAGCAGCGCGTATGCAGTGTGGGCCAAGCTATTTCGCAAGATGCCTGCGGCCAAGAGATGAGATACGAGATGCCCCCTCCCTCCCGCTGCTCGACAGCTCGATGAGAGGGGAGGAGATCGTACAAGCCCCCTGAAATAGGGCGGTCGTAAGGACGACCAAAATCCCCTACTTATGATGTGCCTTGCAAGTAGGCCCTATGTTAACCACTCCTTCCCACCTCATTCGCGTGCGCGTGCGTTTTTGACCGGGGGAATGGGCACGCCGCTGCATCTGCCGTTACGGCAAGGAACATTGACGAGAATGAGTTAAAGATTGAAGATGTCGTACAACCACAGGACGGCTCACATCCTATCTACTAGGGTGGGAAACCGACGTTCGAGCAACCTATATTAGATTGCGAACCGTCCAGTTGCCGTATACGGTGGTCGACATCGCTGGCGATTCTCATTCGCCTATTACAAGTGTCTTCTCACTTATTGGAGCGCTTTGTACTGAACCGCCGCCGCTGTCGCTGAGGCAGCGTTCGGACTTGTCGCGCTTCAACTGCTGTCGCTTGTAATGGAACACGCTACAATTCGCTCCAGTTGTACCAGACCGCTGCTCCCCTTTATGCTCTTTCTTCCGGTATTTCAACACGTTTTTCACATTCGTACTATTTCCACCTGATTCTTATGCTCCTCTTCCGTTTGCATTGCATAATGTAGTTTTCGACGAGTTTTTTAATTTAGTTTTTGACGACGAGTTTCGCCTTTCTTGGTAGAGTCTGTGGTAGAGCATCTAGGCCATGCGTTCATGCAAGCCATTGGTACAGTTTTCGCCCTCGAAACCCAAACCCATCACAGTACTTGAGATGATGAGTGGGGCACTACTAATTTATATTCCTGTCGAGGCTGCAGTATAGTTTTCCGATGTTGTCTCAAGGTTTTCAGTGTATGATAAGCTAAAAGCTGAATAAGGCTATAGAGCAGACTTATATTGTCGAAAAAATTCCGACTCGGATTGATAGGCTGTGCACTAAAAATGACTCAGAAATCATTATTCGTTTTCTCAGATAGACCACTTTACATTACTGCGGATACTATGCGAGATCCAATCGTGGTGAACGCTGGACGTCATGGTTTCTTCAGACAAAATTACGACGAACATGGCTGGAGGAAAATTGCGAGACAGCTTATGGAGGACCATAGGGTGATCTAGTTTACTGATACATTAATTACTGTGGAGCATGATTTGTCGCAACAAACTCAGGATAGTGATATCTGGATGTCGTTTCCAGCCCACCGCCTCATTCATTGGTTGGGGTTTTGGTCGAGTTCGTTACGACCCCTCCCCGTTTTTTTTGGGGATTGGTACAACCACCCCCTTTCTGCTCCCCCCTGTCCCTCCTTATCGAGCTGTCGAGCGTGGGGGAGGGTTATGGTACACATGAGACAGGAAAATCACGGAAAAGTCCACCATCTCTCCCAGAAGGCCAGAAACCAAATACGACCCTCTCCCTTCCAACAACGAACAGTTACGACAACGTCCGTGAAGCGAGAAAAATCAACTATCAAAATAAATCTTTCTCAGCCCAAATACGACCCCCCTCCTGGCGACCAAATACGACCCCCCCCTTGGGGATTCCTCAACAACAATGTCCTGACTTAGCCTACGTAATCCTCAGGGTGCATAGGTTGCCTCATGCCAAGGGTCCGCAGCGAGACAAAGCACTCAGCTAGAGTGCAGTATGTAGTTAGAGGGCGCAGGCAATTAGCGGGTCTGGCTATGGGGAGGCGTGTGGCTGACCGTGTGAGAAGTGAGTATAGTATGGAGAGGGCAATCGGATATCATTACCTTCCAGTCCCATTTTGTGCATATTTGAGCGGAAAAATTCGCTCTCTACTGCAACTGCGGGAGCATAACGGAGATGAGTGTACAATTGTTCTCAGAGTTCCAAAAGTTGTTCTAGAAAGTGTTTTTGTTGAAATATAGAAAAGTCGAAGGGTTGTATACGCCTAACACAATCGTTATTTCAGATTTATACATCTCGTACGAGAAACGCCATTATTAGTGACGCTTTTGCTGCTGCCCATATAGACCATGTTCCTTATACTACAGTGCTCGACCTCCTCAAATACCTGAAGCACGAAAAAGTGAGTTATTCTCGAGATATCTGCACGGAATGATCAAACAAGCCTTGTTGACAGGGTACAGTATCGTTGAGGAGTTTTTTTTTGTTGGTGACTTTCGTGTTTTTCTCGTTTATGTTATACACTCGGATGGGCTTAGCCCGGCCTTGCCGGGCGAGCCTGGCTTCGCCAGGCACTCCCGTTCTGACTCCCCCTATCAAATGTTTTCAACTGCTAGCAGTTCTTGTCACCCACCAATAATGTTTCTGTCCCATACCCTATATCATACCATGGAACCAAAGTCCCACTGCTTCTTGGACCGGCGCTATGAAAATGAGGAGCCGCACATTTCCCCTTATCAGATCTTATCAACTATTGACACTGTCACACAACAATAATGTTCTCGTCCCCCCGTACCCTCTATCATATCTTGGAGCCAACGTCGCACTGTTACTGCGACTGGCGCTATGAATTTCGTGACAAATAGACAGACGCACACACACGGACTTAGCGGATTATATGTATGTCAGTCGGATCGCCCGGCTTACGCCGAGCTCTCCCTCTTCCCCTTGCTGGCTTGGCTTCGCCAGGCGTACTTCAAAATGGGAATGGAATTTACTTACTTACTTACTTACAAACATACAAACCGACACACAAAGCTACTGGTTTATAAAATGAGAGGATTAGCCTCCGGTTTTGTTAGCTGTTGTATCCAGCTCTTGCTGCGTGCTCCTCCCCACCGTGCGCTACGCTTCCTCCCCTGCCTCACCGTTCCCCCCTTCATACAACTTCTTCTCCCCGCCTCCCTCCACTGCACGTACTCAGGTGATGAGCAGTGCAGGAAAAGGAAGCAGGGGGTTGGGTCGATTGGCAGCCCCTCCCCCAACCCAATCTGCCCACGTCCAGCTGCCACGCGAGCAGCTCGTGCAATGGCTTGAAGTGTACCAACTGGTTGTCTTATATAGCGGAAGCTGTTATCACTCAATTTCCGATTTGTCTAACGGCCGTGTTCTCCTTCCACTAGCGTGTTCGAAGCATTTTTCGGACGGACAGACATACAAACATACATACATACATACCGACAAACCGACACACAAAGTTGCTGCTTTATAGAAGTAGAAGGATAGTAGGATAACATATTGAGGAAGGGAGTCATGCCGTAGAAAGGAATTTGGTGGGGAGAGGGGTCGTCTGACACCCGTCATTTCACCCATCCTCATGATGTATCCTGTACCAACAAGGTACATCGTGAGGATGGGTGAATGCAATGAAGAATTTAGGAGTATATTCCTTGGCAAGCAGCTCTCAATGGGCTCGCTTATATAGGTGGATATTTCAATAGCGAGGAAGATTTGGCTGCGTACAAGGTGAGTAGGTTGATCAGCGTTTTCTCATTTCCGGCACATTCTAGTTGATCAGCGTTTTCTCATTTCGGCACTATTCTATTTTTACTGCCCCAATTTTCCGAAACAGGCCGAATTTTGATCGACTTGTTTCCACGGGAGCAGATTTGGCTGAAAGTCGGGTCTGACGAGGATGGATATCAATTTGTCACGGCCATTCAGGATGGGATGTGTACTCCTGAAAGCATCTTCGGACGCTTAGATCTGATTTCCAAATCTGGTGGACGATTCTAGGAGGGAAGTTACGGACCTTTTTCCTACTGCGCTTAACCATTGCGGTGAGCCCCCTGCCCATACTTTCCGCTTGTTAACCCCTAGTGACAGAACAGCAGCCGTTGTTCGATGGCGCAGCAGGTAGTGAGCGGGTTCGTCGTGGGATCGAGGTTCAGATCCTTGATGCATTTCGTAGTTTTGCATTTTCTTGAAACGTATGCTAAACACTTGGAAAAGTAGTTTTAGGTACCAGTTCGACCATCAGGGGCCCCTCTCTGCTCCTTATTGAGCCCTGTGAACGAATTTCGGGAAACATTTCATTTCGACTTCAGTGAATGCATTGAAATTGATAGCGTTGATGTGGCAGCCTTAAACATTAAGCGAACACATAAGATATCTTGAAGATGGCGTGTTAACAAGTAGGAAGAACTTATAAAAGTTCTAAAGGTGAATCGCTTTCTCACTTTCTCTTCTCT